TGAGTGAGCATGTACTAAAGTCAGATAATATGATGAAAAAGCCAAATGACCATCCAGCACATCCCCCACCCACCGAAAACCCAACACTTTCCACCCCAGAACCCCCGACAACCTGGAGTGGATCCAGAGGAAGTCATCTTCTAAAGGCCAATCTAATGCCGGCCATAAAACACCCAATCTGAGAAGGCCGCTACAAATACCCTACAATGAGGTACTTACCAGTCCCTGGAGCCCAGCGCCGTCTTCTCTCAGCCAGTTCTTCTCACCATTGCAGGTCCCTGGGGCCACCATCTTGGATTTGGGTTCTCCATTGTGAATGGATTGGATTGCACAATGCAGGGAGATTCGTCCAGCAGCTCCTCCTGAGTCACGTGACGTCACCCGGGGAGGGAGGGGAGGGCAAGTGACATTCATTCTCACCCGGGGAGGGAGGGGAGGGCAAGTGACATTCATTCTCAACCATGTGGGGGGAGGGGAGGGCAAGTGACATTCATTCTCAACCATGTGGGGGGAGGGGAGGGCAAGTGACATTCATTCTCACCCGGGGAGGGGGGGGGAGGGCAAGTGACATTCATTCTCAACCATGTGGGGGGAGGGGAGGGCAAATGACATTCATTCTCACCCAGGGAGGGAGGGGAGGGCAAGTGACATTCATTCTTACCCAGGTGGGGGGGGAGGGGAGGGCAAGTGACATTCATTCTCACACCCGGGGAGGGAGGGGAGGGCAAGTGACATTCATTCTCACCCGGGGAGGCAGGGGAGGGCAAGTGACATTCATTCTTACCCAGGTGGGGGGAGGGGAGGGCAAGTGACATTCATTCTCACCCAGGTGGGGCGAGGGGAGGGCAAGTGACATTCATTCTTACCCAGGCGGGGGGAGGGAAGGGCAAGTGACATTCATTCTCACCCAGGCGGGGGGAGGGAAGGGCAAGTGACATTCATTCTCACCCAGGTGGGGGGAGGGGAAGGCAAGTGACATTCATTCTCACCCAGGTGGGGGGAGGGGAGGGCAAGTGGTATTCATTCTCACCCAGGTGGGGGGAGGGGAAGGCAAGTGACATTCATTCTCACCCAGGTGGGGGGCGGGGAGGGCAAGTGGTATTCATTCTCACCCAGGTGGGGGGAGGGGAGGGCAAGTGGCATTCATTCTCACCCAGGTGGGGGGAGGGGAGGGCAAGTGGCATTCATTCTCACCCAGGTGGGGGGGGGGGGAGGGGAGGGCAAGTGACATTCATTCTCACCCAGGTGGGGGGAGGGGGAGGGCAAGTGACATTCATTCTCACCCAGGTGGGGGATGGGTATCTGTCAACAAAGAGGTACCTGCTCCGCAAAAAAAAGAACCTGATTCATTAGTGTTATGGGTGGGGGTGAGGTGAGGGTGGGTGGGGGGGGGGGGGGGGGGGGGGGGGGGGGGGGGGTGGGGGTGAGGGTGGGGGTGAGGGTGAGGGTGGGGGTGGGGGTGAGGGTGGGGAGGGAGATGAGTGGGGCTTTTTTTACTTTGGAGTGAATGTCCCCTACAAGGACTGGGCTTTGGGGGACAAATGCAATGTGTGGGGTTCCGAGGTCACCCAGAATTCATTGCAGGTTCAGGACCCTCATCAAGCCTTGTATGGGGACAGCAAACAACCCCGGGGACTGGGGCAGAACTACACCCCACACTCTACAACATGGACGATAAAGTGTTCCTGAACCCCCAACAGGGGGTTATACTCACTGTGGGACCTAAGGGGTTAATCCTTCGCATTGTGGAAAAAGGCTGTTTTATCCTGTGTTCTCTGATCCTCCCCTTCTCCTACTGTCTTCAAACCATCTGCTGATAGCACAGAGTTCTTGGAGGAACTCTGCACATGCTCAGTTCGGTGTGTGCGGCTGGAGAGTTGTTTCTTGTTTTACTTTGGGACGGTGCATGTGATCAGCACAGGGCCAATCAGCACAGTCCAGACAGAGGGTCAGGGGTCATGCAGCCTCAAAGGACAGTCAGAGGAAAATGAAAACTCATCCTACATGAGAAAAGGGATTTAGCGGTTCATATTTACTAAAATAATAACATTTCCATGTTCTGTGTACAGTGGGGGACCAGATATAGTGAATGCGGGGTCCAGGGAGAGCAGATATAGTGAATGCGGGGTCCGGGGAGAGCAGATATAGTGAATGCGGGGTCCGGGGAGAGCGGATATAGTGAATGCGGGGTCCGGGGAGAGCGGATATAGTGAATGCGGGGTCCGGGGAGAGCGGATACAGTGAATGCGGGGTCCGGGGAGAGCGGATATAGGGAATGCGGGGTCCGGGGAGAGCGGATATAGTGAATGCGGGGTCCGGGGAGAGCGGATATAGTGAATGCGGGGTCCTGGGGGAGCGGATATAGTGAATGCGGGGTCCGGGGAGAGCGGATATAGTGAATGCGGGGTCCGGGGAGAGCGGATATAGGGAATGCGGGGTCCGGGGAGAGCGGATATAGTGAATGCGGGGTCCGGGGAGAGCGGATATAGTGAATGCGGGGTCCGGGGGGACCAGATATAGTGAATGAGGGGTCCGGGGGAGAGCGGATATAGTGAATGCGGGGTCCGGGGAGAGCGGATACAGGGAATGCGGGGTCCGGGGGGACCAGATATAGTGAACGCGGGGTCCGGGGAGAGCGGATATAGTGAATGCGGGGTCCGGGGAGAGCGGATACAGTGAATGCGGGGTCCGGGGAGAGCGGATACAGTGAACACGGGGTCCGGGGAGAGCGGATATAGTGAATGCCGGGTCCGGGGAGAGCGGATATAGTGAATGCGGGGTCCGGGGAGAGCGGATATAGTGAATGCGGGGTCCGGGGGGGACCAGATATAGTGAATGCTGGGTCCGGGGAGAGCGGATATAGTGAATGCGGGGTCCGGGGAGAGCGGATACAGGGAATGCGGGGTCCGGGGGGACCAGATATAGTGAACGCGGGGTCCGGGGAGAGCGGATATAGTGAATGCGGGGTCCGGGGAGAGCGAATACAGTGAATGCGGGGTCCGGGGAGAGCGGATACAGTGAACGCGGGGTCCGGGGAGAGGGGATACAGTGAACGCGGGGTCCGGGGAGACCGGATACAGTGAATGCGGGGTCCGGGGGGAGAGCGGATACAGTGAATGCGGGGTCCGGGGAGAGCGGATATAGGGAATGCGGGGTCCGGGGAGAGCGGATATAGTGAATGCGGGGTCCCAGGAGAGCGGATATAGTGAATGCGGAGTCCGGGGAGAGCGGATACAGTGAATGCGGGGTCCGGGGAGAGCGGATACAGTGAATGCGGGGTCCGGGGAGAGCGGATATAGGGAATGCGGGGTCCGGGGAGAGCGGATATAGTGAATGCGGGGTCCGGGGGGGACCAGATATAGTGAATGCGGGGTCCGGGGGGAGAGCGGATATAGTGAATGCGGGGTCCGGGGAGAGCGGATACAGGGAATGCGGGGTCCGGGGGGACCAGATATAGTGAACGCGGGGTCCGGGGAGAGCGGATATAGTGAATGCGGGGTCCGGGGAGAGCGGATACAGTGAACGCGGGGTCCGGGGAGAGCGGATACAGTGAATGCGGGGTCCGGGGAGAGCGGATACAGTGAACGCGGGGTCCGGGGAGAGGGGATACAGTGAACGCGGGGTCCGGGGAGACCGGATACAGTGAATGCGGGGTCCGGGGAGAGCGGATACAGTGAATGCGGGGTCCGGGGAGAGCGGATATAGGGAATGCGGGGTCCGGGGGAGAGCGGATATAGTGAATGCCGGGTCCCAGGAGAGCGGATATAGTGAATGCGGAGTCCGGGGAGAGCGGATACAGTGAATGCGCGGGTCCCAGGAGAGCGGATATAGTGAATGCGGAGTCCGGGGAGAGCGGATACAGTGAATGCGGGGTCCGGGGAGAGCGGATACAGTGAATGCGGGGTCCGGGGAGAGCGGATATAGGGAATGCGGGGTCCGATGAGAGCGGATACAGTGAATGCGGGGTCCCAGGAGAGCGGATACAGTGAATGCGGGGTCCGGGGAGAGCGGATATAGGGAATGCGGGGTCCGATGAGAGCGGATACAGTGAATGCGGGGTCCGGGGAGAGCGGTACAGTGAATGCGGGGTCCGGGGAGAGCGGTACAGTGAATGCAGGGTCCGGGGAGAGCGGATATAGGGAATGCGGGGTCCGGGGGGAGAGCGGATATAGTGAATGCGGGGTCCGGGGAGAGCGGATATAGGGAATGCGGGGTCCGGGGGAGAGCGGATACAGTGAATGCGGGGTCCGAGGAGAGTGGATACAGTGAATGCGGGGTCCGGGGAGAGCGGATATAGGGAATGCGGGGTCCGGGGAGAGCGGATACAGTGAATGCGGGGTCCGGGGAGAGCGGATATAGTGAATGCGGGGTCCGGGGAGAGCGGATATAGTGAGTGCGGGGTCCGGGGAGAGCGGATACAGTGAATGCGGGGTCCGGGGAGAGCGGATATAGGGAATGCGGGGTCCGGGGAGAGCGGATATAGTGAGTGCGGGGTCCGGGGAGAGCGGATACAGTGAATGCGGGGTCCGGGGAGAGCGGATATAGGGAATGCGGGGTCCGGGGAGAGCGGATACAGTGAATGCGGGGTCCGGGGAAGAGCGGATATAGGGAATGCGGGGTCCGGGGGAGAGCGGATACAGGGAATGTGGGGTCCCAGGAGAGCGGATATAGGGAATGCGGGGTCCGGGGAGAGCGGATATAGTGAGTGCGGGGTCCGGGGAGAGCGGATACAGTGAATGCGGGGTCCGGGGAGAGCGGATATAGGGAATGCGGGGTCCGGGGAGAGCGGATACAGGGAATGTGGGGTCCCAGGAGAGCGGATATAGGGAATGCGGGGTCCGGGGAGAGCGGATATAGTGAATGCGGGGTCCGGGGGGACCAGATATAGTGAATGCGGGGTCCGGGAGAGCGGATATAGTGAATGCGGGGTCCGGGGGGAGAGCGGATACAGTGAATGCGGGGTCCGGGGGGACCGGATATAGTGAACGCGGGGTCCGGGGAGAGCGGATACAGTGAACGCGGGGTCCGGGGAGAGCGGATATAGTGAATGCCGGGTCCGGGGAGAGCGGATATAGTGAATGCGGGGTCCGGGGAGAGCGGATATAGTGAATGCGGGGTCCGGGGGGACCAGATATAGTGAATGCGGGGTCCGGGGAGAGCGGATATAGTGAATGCGGGGTCCGGGGAGAGCGGATATAGTGAATGCGGGGTCCGGGGGGACCAGATATAGTGAATGCGGGGTCCGGGGAGAGCGGATATAGTGAATGCGGGGTCCGGGGAGAGCGGATACAGGGAATGCGGGGTCCGGGGGGACCAGATATAGTGAACGCGGGGTCCGGGGAGAGCGGATATAGTGAACGCGGGGTCCGGGGAGAGCGGATACAGTGAACGCGGGGTCCGGGGAGAGCGGATATAGTGAATGCGGGGTCCGGGGAGAGCGGATACAGTGAATGCGGGGTCCGGGGAGAGCGGATACAGTGAACGCGGGGTCCGGGGGAGAGGGGATACAGTGAATGCGGGGTCCGGGGAGAGCGGATACAGTGAATGCGGGGTCCGGGGAGAGCGGATACAGTGAATGCGGGGTCCGGGGAGAGCGGATACAGTGAATGCGGGGTCCGGGGAGAGCGGATATAGGGAATGCGGGGTCCGGGGAGAGCGGATATAGTGAATGCGGGGTCCGGGGAGAGCGGATATAGGGAATGCGGGGTCCCGGGGAGAGCGGATACAGTGAATGCGGGGTCCGAGGAGAGCGGATACAGTGAATGCGGGGTCCGGGGAGAGCGGATACAGTGAATGCGGGGTCCGGGGAGAGCGGATATAGGGAATGCGGGGTCCCAGGAGAGCGGATATAGGGAATGAGTGAAGGTAAAAATGTTTTTCATGCAGCTCCGCCCCCTAATACTTACCTGAACCTGATCTCGATCCAGCACTGTGCGCAAAAGCAGCGTCTTTCTTGGCTTTCTGCCTCCTCATTGGCTCAGACACAGCAGGCGGAGCCATTAGCTCAATGCCAGGGAGGAGGGGGCGGGGCCAAGCCCCGCTCTGTGTGTCTTAGGAACACACTGAGGCAGCTTGGGAGTGAGCACACACCAGCGCCCCCATGGCAAGTAACTTGCTATGGGGGAACTCAGCAGGGGGTGGAACCAGGAGTGTCAGTGGCGGGGGGCCCCAGAAGAGAAGAGTCGGGCCGACTCTGTGCAATGATGTTACAGAGCAGGGAAGTATTACATGTTTAATATATGGAATAAACATGTAACCCGGATCCAGTGTGGGGGAGGGACTAGAACTTTTTGCTATGGTTGAACTGGATGGACTTTTGTCTTTTTTCAGCCAGACTAACTATGGAACTATGTAATGATGTAACTATGTAATGATGTAACTATGTAATGATGTAACTATGGGAACTATGTAATGATGTAACTATGGAACTATGTAATGATGTAACTATGGAACTATGTAATGATGTAACTATGGAACTTTACAATCATTTTAAAGCAAAGTCCTAAAAAAAAAAAAAAAAAAAAAAAGACGACTTACCTGGTTTGGACCCCTCGGGCACTGTGCCTTTAAACTTCGCCTGTATGAAGATGGGACGATTGTCGTTCTGATCGGTCACCTTAATAATAATCTCTATGGGGGTCTCCACTTGCTGCCCATTGGATGAGACGGCGTAGACCAAGATCTGAAAGAAGAATGAACAATCCGTTATTTTAAATGAAGAGAAGCTGCACAGCGGATGATGCAGGACTGAGGCTGGCGCTAGCACCTGAGCGTCATGATGCAGAAGGACTTAGAGGCTGGCGCTAGCACGTGAGCATGAGGATGCAGAAGGACCGAGGCTGGCGCTAGCACCTGAGCATGAGGATGCAGAAGGACCTAGAGGCTGGCGCTAGCACATGAGCGTGATGATGCAGAAGGACCTAGAGTCTGACGCTAGCACCTTAGCATGATGATACAGAAGGACCGAGGCTGGCACTAGCACCTGAGCATGTTGATGCAGAAGGACCGAGGCTGGTGCTAACCTGAGCATGATGATGCAGAAGGACCGAGGCTGGCGCTAGCATCTGAGCTTGATGATGCAGAAGGACCGAGGCTGGCACTAGCCCCTGAGCTTGATGATGCAGAAGGACTGAGGCTGGCGCTAGCACCTGAGCGTCATGATGCAGAAGGACCTAAAGGCTGGCGCCAGCACTTGAACGTGATGATGCAGAAGGACCTAGAGGCTGGCGCTAGCACATGAGCGTGATGATGCAGAAGGACCTAGAGGCTGGCGGTAGCACCTGAGCGTGATGATGTAGAAGGACTGAGGCTGGTGCTATCACCTGTGCATGATGATGCAGAAGGACCAAGGCTGGCGCTAGCACCTGAGCATAATGATGCAGAAGGACCAAGGCTGGCGCTAGCACCTGAGCATGTTGATGCAGAAGGACCAAGGCTGGCGCTAGCACCTGAGCATAATGATGCAGAAGGACCAAGGCTGGCGCTAGCACCTGAGCATGATGATGCAGAAGGACCAAGGCTGGGCCTAGCACCTCAGCGTGATGATGCAGAAGGACCGAGGCTGGCGCTAGCACCTCAGCGTGATGATGCAGAAGGACCTAGAGGCTGGCGCTAGCTGTAGCAATTGTACGTACAGATATGGACGCGGACATCCATCTTGTTAAAGATCCCCCATTTTGTATCTTTCTCACTCCAAATCAGCTCCCCCCTCCCTCTCTGTTGAGTGACACGTGGTCCATGTGTGCTGAGTTCAGGGCACAGCTGGGTACCCTTGATGGTTGTAAACCCAATTAGCTGATGCCAGGGTGTCTGTCCCACTCTTGCACTGAAGCTGATCGTAAAGCTATAAACCCGCCAGTCACTGGACTTCAAATAGCAGTAAATCCGATATCTCATTTGGGAGACCACTTTTTTATACACTTTTGTAATTTCTCGTAGGCAATACATACCAGAATACAAAACATATATTCCGAGAGGTCATTTTCATACAAGTCACCTGATACCTTACACCCCTAGATTACGTCTACCCGAGAGCAGAAACCGATATCTCCTTAACCGTCACAGCCAGATATGTCATATGTGATGTCTGGACGTTCAGAATATCGTTCTGCATATTATCCTGCCAGTGGATAGGATGCTACATGTACCTAGGGAAGGTTATTGACCCTGGTATAACTTGTGAGAGATTTTGGTTCTAGCCTGGGTCTCTGCCTAAACCCCCCCCCCCCCCTCCCCAAATGAGGCGATTGGCCCTTGACTTCAGAGACACTCTTGCTGGGGAACTACAAAATAGGCTGTCAGGCCTGAGAGAGGAAGATGAAGAATTCTCCCTTTTAACATCAGGAACCAACTTGGGAGATAAGGCACCTTTTTGTTCAGGACCTTGAGCTGCTTAAAACCAAGGCTGACAGCAAGTACTCTACCTCTCTAAACTTCTTCCTGTTTCTCTTTGCTGTGTTATTGTTCTCTGTATATTTATATATATATATTGGCTACATCTTTTTCTGTAAATATTTTTATTGCACCCTTTTGACGTTTTAGTAATAAATCTTACTTTTTGAAAGTGTTAAACTGTTTCTAAAGTTCTTTAATGCAAACTAAGAATCCCTGCCTCTGAAGAGCACTACTGTGTGTTTTAAACTTCTGCATACATCTGCCTGCGGTGACAGTGGTATACAGATGATTATTCAAACCTCATGGTGTTATTGCTGATATTGCCGAGTTTCCTCTTTCTCCGTACAAAAAGGAGGTGGTGGCAGTGTGAAGGGTTAATTGCGTAATTAACCTGACCCAGTAACAATCGCCCAGGCTGCCGGTACATCGATTGTGGTCCAGTGCGCTGGAAAATCTTTGTGCAGGGTGCAGCTGAGTGTGGCATTGTTACGCACAAAACAGTGCGGTTTAGATCGGCTAGTCCTTTGGTCACGAGTTGGTGAGAAGGGCTGGGATCTGACGTTGTGATCGTCACACTAGCACCTGAGCGTGATGATGCAGAAGGACCTAGAGGCTGGCGCTAGCACCTGAGCGTGATGATGCAGAAGGACCTAGAGGCTGGCGCTAGCACCTGAGCGTGATGATGCAGAAGGACCTAGAGGCTGGCGCTAGCACCTGAGCGTGATGATGCAGAAGGACCTAGAGGCTGGCGCTAGCACCTGAGCGTGATGATGCAGAAGGACCTAGAGGCTGGCGCTAGCACCTGAGCGTGATGATGAAACACGATAAATGCTGCACTGCCATTCCTGCTCCTTCATAAAACCGGAGTGAAAAGATCTTCTAAGTGTGTTGTAAACTCCTCCTATTACGCCCCATTCACACCCAAGTGTTGTGGAGCGCGAAGCTCAAAGCCCCAAAATGCTCCGGGGGGGGGGGGGGGGAAGAATCAATATTACTCTATGGAGAGGGTTCACATCTTCACTCCAAGTCGCCTGAAGCTCAAAAAAGTTTTGGAGCTACTTTTGTACTTCAAATTGGGCAGATTTGCACGTTTTTGGCACATTTTTATTCCCATAGAAAAGAATAGAAATGCACAATTGGCACGTTTTTACAGGCTTTCACGCTTTTTAACACGCGTTTTGCACAATTTTCTATTCAAATGATCGAAATGTAAAAAAAAAAAAAATATAATATATGAATAAATAAATGGAAAATAAATCAAATAAATACACAAATAAATAAATCATAAATAAAAAAGTAACCCCCTAACCTTAAATTTTTTTTTTTATTAAGAATAATAATAATAATAAAAAACATAAGAACAAAAAAAATACAATAATAATAATAATTATGATAATAAAAATAAATGATTATTTTATTACTTAGTTTTTAGGGTGTTAAGGTTATGGGTTAATTATGATTAATTTATTATTACAAGTATTTATTTATGATATTTTTAATATATTTGTGTATTTATTTTGTATTTATTAATATATGATGATGATTATTATTATTAGTAATATTAATCACCCTAACAAAAAAAATGTATAAATAAATAGAAAAAAAAATAATAATAAATAAAATACAAACCCAACCCCTAATCCTAACCCTAATGAAACCTCAACACTAACCCCCTCACCCTAACAAGAAAACAAAATAATAATGAATATAATAATAATAAAAAAACTAAAAGCTGATGGAAAAACCTAGAAACAAATGATACAACAGACAATTTTCTCTATTGGCTAATAAAAAAATGCCAAAGCTCAAAAACAGCTAAAAATGCTGTATAAAAACGCACAAAAATCACAGTAAAATAAATAAAATTGGCGGTAAAATATGTGTGAAAAACCTGCTTGCAACTGTGATGATTAAATCGTAAGAAATTCAAAATAAAAATGTAATACACCTCCCCCACCTGTGTGTTTAGTGAACCAATCAATATTAAATGAATATAAAAAAAACATTTGAAGTGAAATGAATTAGTGTCTATGACAGGTGCTACAATGCACCTCCCCCTATCACAATGTGTA